GCAGGAGTGCCTCTCTATAAATTGTCTGAAACTTACTTCTGAAAACCCACCTTGGTTTATTCGGGGTGACAAATCAAAGGGCCGTTATCACTAATCACTAGAATATTTTACATTTCAAGCAACATAGTCCCTTTCCTGTTTATGTCAGATGTATCAGAAGACTCATTATCTTTTCAAAAGAAATAACGGTAGATTTTATATTTATTAACTACCTCTTTGTGATCTGAAAGGTAACATTACTTTTGTCAACTTCGATGATGTGAATTTTCAAGGCTTCACTTGAAATCAGATCCTCTAGTGTTGCAGCAAAGATGATGGTTGACAGTGAAATTGCAGAATTGGACTAGCCTTTTGGAGCTCAATTGTCACTATATCAGACAGTGAAATAAATACAGTTTTAATGAAGGTCCACTCATAACTTGAGGATCTGTAACAAGGCAGCAATTCCCATAGCCTGACAATTGGGTGACTGGAGCACTGAGATTTGAATATTAATGTTACTGTATCTGCATTTACCACCTGGTGGAGCTCACATACTAAAGTTACAGCTTAAGCAATAAACACATAGTTCAGTATGTTTATAAATGAATGATGCATAAAAGGATAACCTATGAAATTATTGCATGTGTATTCTCCCTAGTTTTCTTGGTTCCCAGACTAAGTAAGTTACTGGGCATAGTGATATCTTGCCTGAAGAACTGGGAAAGGAGGAAGGCAGAAGAGACTGAACCCCAAAGCTGTATTTTTTTCTTAAACCTTTTATAGAGGAAATCTTAGAGGGTGAAGGATGTTGACCACAGTGAGATAGGAAAACTTCCCCAAAAGGAAGTTTGTAAAGAGGGCAGTTGTCTATAGATTCTGGGAATGATTCATATATATTTTTTTTCTTTTTGGTATTCCAGAGAGGCACTAGTCCCTTTAAATTGGGATTCCTATTCTTCCTAAAGGTTCCTGTGTCCTAGGTGCAGCATCAGCAGAGGACAGAAGAACAGGTAAACTGAAATGATTGTGATTGCAGATTGCCAGTAACTGAGGGCTTAGCTGTGTGGCCTCCCAGAGGGGGAAGGAGCCCCAAAGTGATTGGTTGAATTTACTATCAGCATGATCAAAGGGGGTCCAGAGTTGTAATTAAATTATTTTTATTTAAGGTGTCGAAAAATTTCTTACACTGCTGTGTGTATAGACTGAGCTTCCTTACCAATGACTACTATTACAATGGGGGTTTTCACTTTCCTCAAATCATTTTTAATTAGAATGTGGTTAAAAACTTTAGGTAATGTGTACAGGACATCATCTTTTTTTTCTAGTCCAAATTGAATTCCTCTTTTTATCCCCTATAAATCACAGGAATCCTCTTGACATTGTTCAGGACCTTTGTTCAAAGTTCCTACATATGTACAAGCCCAGTGATTTCATTAAGCAAATTCTTTAGTGATTCTTATGAAATCTTTTTTACTTAGTATGCTATGGAAGAATTCTGGGTATCTGCCCTATTTGTTTATTTGCTGTTCAGTCTATTCTCTCTCTTAAATTCCTCAAGAAATTTTTACTTATGTGGCTGTAGAACCATGTAAAATATCATTAATGCTATTTTAAATTTGTTTCAGGGACCTCTCTTCCCACTTTCCATGTCACACCTCTTTTTCCATTACTCTCTAATCCTCATCTCACCCATGGCTCTTAATTATGTTTGCTCTGCTTATTGGTTGAGTCTTCTCATTTTCCACTTGCTTGCATTGGGTATGCCAAGTTTAGCTTTTTTTTAAATCTAAGGTAAAAGTTAATAGGAATTTCCCCAGGCTTCATAACAAAACCCTTGACTGAATATAGCAAGACCCTTTTAACACCATTTAAAAAAAAATTCTTTATTTTTTATTTTTAAATTTGTTCTAATTAGTTATACATGACAGTGGAATGCATTTTGACATTGTATACAAATGGAGCACAACTTTTCCTTCCTCTGGCTGTACATGGTACAGAGTCACACTGGTAGTACAATCATACATGTATATAGAGTAATAAGGTCCATCTCATTCCACTATCTTTCCGCTCCCTGCAGCCCCTCCCCTCCCCTTACTCCCCTCTACACAATCCAAATTTACTTCATTCTTCCGTACCCCACCCTCCATTATGGATCAGCATGCACTTATGCACTTATCAGATAAATTATTTGGCCTTTTTTTTTTTTTTGGAGAGGGATGTTGGCTTATTTTGACGAGCATGATATTCTCCAGTTTCATCCATTTATTGGCAAATGCCATAGTTTCATTCTTCTTTAAGGCTGAGTGGTATTCTGTTGTGCATATATACCACATTTTCTTTATTCGTTCATCTGTTCAAGGGCATCTAGGTTGGTTCTATAGTTTAGCTATTGTGAATTGAGCTGCTATAAATATTGGTGTGGCTGTGTCACTATAGTATGCTGATTTTAAGTCCTTTGGGTGTAAGCCAAGGAATGGAATTTTGACTGGCTCCCTTTCCTCCATCTCTTCATCTCCTTACTTAATTCAGAGAAGGTGATGAACATAGGGAAAGTCTTTTATTTTTTATTTTGGGAACTGCCTAATAACTGGTAGCCTATAGAAACACAGATGAGCTCAAAAAGCCTTCCTGTCTGGATAGACACAACCCCTAGGTGACCTTTGCTCTGTCTGCATACAGCTTTATAAGTGGAATCAAGTGGAAAATGAACTGGGTTTATTCTCTCCTAGCCCCTCAGTCAAGTACATTTGTGCCCAAACTCTGGCAAGTTCTATGGAATAGCCCTATTTCTCTCTTCTTTGGTGAGAAAAGTTAATTCTTAATGTGGGCATTGAGCATTAGTACTTGTTTATTCTTCTTATTATGACCTTTTGATTTCATAAGCTGTATGTCATCCCCACTAGGAAGTGTACTAACATTTTCTCTATACAACATGACTTGACTCCTTGTTGTGTCAGCCTGGGATGTCTACAAATTGAAGAGAAGCTGGGGAATAATGTCCCCAGCTTTTTGCAACCTCCAAATTCACTTTTAATGTGTAGGTTATTTAGTATTATCACCTCCATCAATTGTTTTATTTTTCTATTGGAATAAATAAGTTTTGGAATATGATTTTTATTCCTCTTCCCTTAGTCATAGCAACCAAATATGTCTCTAGATAATTGCCAGCTGTTGAATGGAGGCAAAAAAAAATATCACCTCTGGTTTAGATTTCTAAAGGAACATGGTAGTTAATGTGCACATATTAAAACATATATAAAGTTTTGTATTGCTTCATTTCTTTATCATGGTTACATGGAGAATCATTTAGCATTGGAAAAGTACTTTCGTGGTATTCTTTATAATAACAATTTCTCTTAGCTTTTACAGAAAGTATCTTGGGGGAAGGATCTTTTAAGAGGGCAATCTTCAGATTAAGCAAAAATACTTACAAAATATCATTTATTTATGTGTATTTTCTATGTGAATATGTTTGTATGTAAATTTATTGTTCTATTTTATCTGAGCAGTTCAAATGAATTAGTGCAGCTTAGTTTAGAGAACAAGACTGAAGGGGTGGTGCTTTAGTTTTTCAGCACACACACACACAAAGATAAAATTGTAGTAAAATTCAAAATGTCAGCATTTTGAAATAGTTTGTTCAAATATAGGGAAATCAAATTTCCTCCAAAGTAATATTTTAAAAGATGTGCCCAAGCAGCTTTTCCTGTGTTAGAAGACAATAAACTTTATATCCAACACATTTAATTTGCTAATAAAAGCTATTTATTCTTAAGAATTTCTAAAAGGCATACTATAAAAAAGTACTTAGTTATTTCCCAAAAGGCTTTATTCCAAAAGATAAGCAAACTCAAATTTAAGCCTCCTTTATGACTGTGTTAAGTACATCTAGTACATTACTTTTTGCTATAAAATCTCTCCAAATAGAAAGTAGCAAAAATTAAATCTGTGTTCTGCATGCCAAATCTTCACAATATTTCCCAGCTGTGTTGGCATTTTAAGCTAGGCTCTTACTCTTTAGAGTCAGTGTAATGAGCTATAATTGATGGTGGCAATGATGATGAAACATGAAGTGAGTGTTCTCATGTAAGCTTATTCAAAGGAGTTTTGAGCAATCACTTATGTCAGTCTTTTAAGTTTTTATAGTGAATGAACAAAATTATATTAAAAAAATTCCCACTTTGAACCTGATTTTTTTTTTTTTTTTTTTTTTTGCTGGCCATTAGATCAGGTTTTTTTTCTTTGTTGTTTGGGGGTTAAGAGTGGATTTATTTTCCAGAACTTAAGCTTCCTACATTCAATTATTTTTTCTTTAAAATACATATAATAAAGTAGCCATGAGAAGAAAATTTATAAATTAAGTACAGGATTAGTAGATATTCTTGCTTGGTTCTTTTAGGAGTTGGTGTAATTTTGCTGTGAATATTCAAAGTAGCATTCGGCATTTTATATCAATCATTAACAAGTGGACTACTTATATAACACTGAATTCAATAATGGCTTGGTGAGTTATCTTCATATGTTCAATACTTAAGTATACATATTAACAACTAGAGTTTAATATTTTAAGGCAATATTTATACACAACAAAATGTTTAAATCTTAAATGGTAAAAAAGTAAATACAAAAGAACTTATATAGAAAATATGAAAAATTTGGTTAGGAATCACTGACTTGTCCAAACACAAAATCCTAGAAAGATACTGTTATAGATACTAAAATTCAAATATGCTAACTCAATACAAAAATACTTCCTCAAAGCATGGTGCTGTCTAGAATGAACATAATAAGAAATGATGTTACTGAAGGATGAGTTTCCTCTCCTGGTTAAATATCTTTGTAAATCTGTGGCCCAAGTGTTTATTGTCATTTATAGAACAGAAAGCCACAGTGCAGGAACACGAATAATTTGCTTCTAGGCTTACAGGTGGAAAGTAGTCCTGTTGGCACTTTTACTTCAGTTCTTCCAGACAAACTGCTGTCCACTCTTAAAAAAAAAAAAAAATATATATATATATATATATATAGAACACTTCACTAATTTGCATGTCATCCTCATGCAAGGGCCATGATAATCTTCTCTGTATTGTTCCAATTTTAGTACATGTGCTGCTGAAGTGAGCACCACATTAAGTTTTAAGTTATAATTATTAGTAGTTATTAATTGTATATAACAATGGATTTATCTGTGATATTTTCATATGTGCATATAACATACTTTGATTGTGCAACCCTTCCTGTTGCACTTTGTTAATCAGCTTTAAATTGCAGTGACCAAAGCACCTGACATAAACAACTTAGAGGAGGAAATATTCATTTTGGCTCATGGTTTCAGAAGATTCAGTCTGTGGGCAGCCAGTTGTATTGCTCTGGGCCTGAGGTCAGGCAGAAAATTATGGCAGAAGAGTGTGGTAGACAAATATGTTTAGCTCATTTCAGCCAGGAAACAGAATGAGGAAGGAAGGGCATGTGTTTCTGCAAGCAAAATGCTCTCAGTTTCTGATGTTCCCTGAGGTTTTTAGGCTCCATTAAATCATTGCTAGGCTCAGATAGGTTCACACAGACCTAACCACAAACTCAGGGATCTGGGTTTCAAGTTCCTGTTGGAACCATTTGCACTGTAGTCCCAAGATGGCTCCTGGTTGGGTTCTGGCTCCTGGTTGCCCTGTATTGATAAATTCAGAGCAACATTTTTTTAGACCTCTTTAATGAGTCAAACATGTTTAATGGTTCAGATAAAGTAGACTTCTAGTCTCTGGAATTTCTGCTCTTAGCATCAGGGAGAACCAGTATTCATATTACTTGCATCCTGGGTAGCTGAGGTAGGAGAAATGCTGCCTCACTTTGATCTACCATCTTGCCCACCTCTTCTACTTTTTTTTTTTTTGTACTGGGAATTGAACCCCAAAGCATTTTACCACTGAACTACATCCCCAGTTATTTTCATATTTTATTTTGAGACAGGTGTTGCAGAGCAGCTGAGAGTCTCACTTAGTTGTTGAGGCTGGCCTTGAACTTGCAACCATCCTGCTTCGGCCTCATGAGTTGCTAGGATCACAGCTGTGCTCCACTGGGCCTGGAAAGTTACACTTTTCCTATGTCATCAACTTGAGCTGAAACTATTATCTACAGCTATTTTTTTTTAATTTTTCCAAGATATTTTTGTTTGATAATGGCTACTTTTATGCTCCATTATCTCTTATTATGATACTAGCATACATTGATAAATAATATAGTTAGAAACTGAGTAGTTAATGCAAAAAAATTATGATACTTTACTAATTATGGTTAGTTATTCATCTGTTGCTCAATACCTAAATGTTCCAGTAAACATTTGATTAAAATCAACATTTATACATGAGTACTGATCACTTATTAATTTAGTGTGCCACTTCTCTTATATTCAATAGAAAAATATTAAAATAATTAAAAATATTAAAATATAATAGAAAAATAAAAATATATAAAATATAAATAAAATCAACATTTATACATGAGTACTGATCATTTATTAATTAATTTAATGTACCACTTCTCTTATATATAATATAAAAATATTAAAATATGGGAGATACTAAGCTGTCAATTTGAGTTTACATAATGGGAACATGTAAAAACAAAGAAAAGACTAAAACAAAGAGAACCCTCATAGATATTTTGAGAAAAAACAAGATGTACTCTGCATCATCCAGTGTCAATAAATAGACAGTAAACAACAAATAGCAAACATTTACTGAGCCCTTTCATTGTGATAAGAATTTACTTTTGTTCTTTGCATCACTAGAACTAAAGTACACAATAAGAATAACTTAAAGGAGGAAAAATTTGTTTCAAGCTTGTAGTTCTAGAGCTTCAATCTGTCTTCAGAGAAATCATAACAGAATATTTCCAAAAACAACAACAACAACAAAAAAAAAACAGGATAACTTCATTCCTCCTAAAGTTCATAAATTATCAGCAATGGTCTAACCCAGAGAATAAGCATAGAATTTTAAGTCTAAAGAGAAAATGTCAGCTCACTTTTAGAGGCAAGTCAGGTATAACTTGTGCTGATTTCTCAGCACAAACTCCAAAATTCAGGAGAGTTTGGAATGATGTATAGAAAATAGTTGTCAATCAATATTGCTATATCCAGCAAAGCTGTCTTTCAAAATTGAAGAGAAATAAAAACCTTCCAAGGCAAGCAGAAACTAAAAGAATTCATGAGTACTAAGTCAGCATTATAGACAATATAAGGAAATACTATACACCCCAAAAATCAAAATCAAACTCAAAAGTTCAGGAATGAACAAATCTCATTCTATGATTAGTTAAGCAAATGTGAAACAAGACCAAATTAAATATTAGAAAGAAATCAAGATGGCAGGAATTGATAAAAATTTCTCTATACTTACATTTTAAATGGTCTTAACTCTCCAATTAAAAGGCAGAGGCCAGCAGAATGAATTTTAAAATAAAACCTAATTATATGTTGCTTGCAAAAGGCAAAGACAGCTGAAAGTGAAAAGATGGAAATTGGTATACTACGAAATGGAACTCCAAAACAAGCAAGAGTAGCTACTATCATCTGACAAAGGAGACTTCAAAGCAAAATTGATAAGAAGAGACAAATAAGGTCACTTTATACTGGTAAAAATGAGTAATCTAACAAGAAAATATAATGATTTTAAATATTTATGCTCCTAATGTTGATGCACTGGTTACACAAAAGAGACACTACTTGAATTAAAGCCTCAGATAGACCCCTGTACAATAATATTGGGTGATTTCTGCAATAAATAGGTCATTCAGACATAAACTCAGCAAAGACTTTTCAGACTAAAAAATATATGAAATTTATTAACCAATATCTGTAGAATATTTCATCCAACAACAGATAAAACCACTTTCTTCTCAGCTACTCACAGAATCTTCTCCAAAACATAACATACTTTAGATTACAAAGCAACTTATAGAATACACAAAAAAGTATAATCCTTGCATTTTATCAGATCATGAGGATTTATATTATAAATCAACACAAAGAAAAATAAACCCACATAGAAACTATATCACTATGGAGTTTCCACACAAAAGATGAGGCATGGAAGCACTATATGACCCAGCTATACCACTCTTGGTACCTATCCTAAAGAATTAAAGTCAACACACTGTAGTATTATATGCATATCTGTGTTTATAGCATCTCAATTTACAATAACCAAATTAGGGAACCAGTTAGGTGTCCATCAATGGATAAGTGGATAAAGAATGTGAGATAGATATATAGACAATGGCATTTTATTCAACCATAAAGAAGACTGAAATTATATCATTTGTAGGAAAAAGAATGGAACTTGAGAACATTCTGTGAAGTAAATTAGCAAAAATCAGATGATTAGGGGTTGTATATTTTTTCTCACTTATGTGGAAGAAAGGTGGGAGTAGGATCTCATGAATATTGGAGGAAGATCAGTATAGTAGACAAAAGGAAGTAGGGGTAAGGAATAGAGGAGAGAAAGGGGAAATACTAGGGAGTTACATTGGCCAAATTATATTGTTATAGTCTGTGAAGTTACATATATGTAACAACAAATTCCAGTATTATGAACAATTATGATGCGCCAGTAAAAAAACATGAAAAAATATAAATCCATCAAATGGATTAATTCACTGATTAGGTTCTGGTTCTCATAATTTAGTCATTTTGACTCTTAGTTTAACAAAGGAGCTTTTGGGGGACACCTCATATGGAAACCATAATGCTATGTACAAAAAAAGGGATTTATTAATTTGTGACTTAGTGTAAAGAAATAATATAAATAAAAGTTATTGAATTGGAAAATAAATCCAGGCATAACAGCCTAGGAAAGAGAAGTTAGTCAAAGATGCGGAACTTTAACAGACAAAGGCCAACAACATTAGGTAAATGAGATGATTTGTGTGGATTCCATTCTAAAGAAAAAGTGATATTGTTTCTAAACCGTATTTTACATGATTATTATAATGATAATGAACATATTTTTAATTCAAATATTTTTTTGTAGTTAATTTAAGCATAATTGCAATTGTCAGGATATTTGATTTGAGCAAAAGATACACAAATTGTTTACGTGATATTTATTTTTTAGAAGACATTGCATTATTTCTTAGAATTTACTACCATATGGAGGAGACATTGATGGTTATCATCATTCTGTGATTAAAGTTGATTTCCTGTCACCTTAGTGTCTATTTTTTTTAATTTTAACACACACACACTCACACACACACACATACACACAAAAAGTATGTTCACTGTTTTTGGCATAGAATATTTTGAGTTTATACATTGATAGAGTTTTATAATCAACATTCCACCTGGATATAGAACAATTGCAGTATACCAGAGAATTGCCTCATACTGACCCTTTGCATCAGAACCTTCCCCCATCCTTAGTAACTACTGATTTATTCTTCATTTAATGTTTTTGTTTGTATTTTTCCAGAACATCATATTAATAGAAATATATAGTGTGTAAACTTTTGAGATTTCTTTCACTCACAAAATGCCTTTAAGTTTCAATTTGTCACTATAGTAAAATTTAATTCATTTTTATTGATGAATAGAATCCCCCAGTATGGATGTACCACAGTTTGCTTGTCCATTAATTCATTGATTAGGGTTAAATATTTAGATTATTTATATTTTAGGGAATTGTAAATATTGTTGTTGTAAACATTCATGTGTGTGGTAGGAATTTTCTATGAAAAGAATAGTTCAGAGAATGAAAGGATGAACTACTGACTAGGAGAAAATACTGCAAAGCACATTGTATCCAGAATATAGAAAGCTGACTCTTGAATTAGAAACAGTTTGCCTGAAGCATAGAAAAGAATATTAGGGGAAATGGATGGTAATTTTGTAAAACAAGCAGGATTTTATTTGTTCTGAATTGAAACAAAAGTAGGAATATTAAAATATGGTTATATTAGTAAAGTAAAATAATATGGAACCTAGAAGGATGTCTAAATATGGACAGGCTAGATGCTGGTAGATATATATCTATGAAAAAATAGGAGTAAGATATTTAATTCAGAATTTTATCCTGGAAAGAAAGAGGTCACTGCATACATAGGGACGCTGCACACATTTAAAATATGAGC